TACAGGCATTTTCAGAGTAGTACTAAACATTTCCAGGTGCTTCTGCCCGCATGCCAACCTTCTGGCAACTTTCAGTTTAAACACACCACCATGATCTTTCTGTCTGTGCCAGCAGCCTGGCTCTGCCTTGACTCATGTACAGCCCACTCTTCCTCTCCCAGTTCTCCCATCTCTAAAGGTTCCCCAAGGTCATGCCCCCCCCCCATCAAGGCTGTGGATCCGTGCCTTTGTACCTGAGGCAGGCAGTAGTGCAGAGACAGCTACACCGAGTCTGGGACTTCAGGTTCCTGCCCTGCAGCATGAATTTGGGTTCTCGCATTCTTCCCACACACCTATCCCTGCTACCAACCTGTGCATTTTTTCATCTCCTGCTGCTTATCACCAAGTGACTTATACAGGCATATTTTGTATTGGCATCTCTCCCACTACCACTGCCAGCTTCTTCTACTGCTTGACTCCACCCCTGCTCCAGGACCATCTGTCAAGCAAACCAACCCTGTTACCAGCTGGAGGGTGGGTCTCAGCTAGGAGCTACAAGCCTTCCTTCCCTGAAGTTTTGTCTCCTCCTGAGTAGCACCACCACGGCAGGGACTGCCTGCAATGCCCCAGTGGGTTTCATCTTCCCATTTCTCTAAGTCTACTTCAGCTCAGCCACGCTCATCTCAGGAGACCACCCCATTCCTGGCTCTCCTTGTGCTGCACGTGTCTCTTCCCACTCTACCCACAGAATGGTGACCGGCAGTTCATGCTTCAGATGCGCTGGTCTCTGAAGGCTTGTGATAGGTCAGCTTTGCATTTATCCTGAGGCAAACCAGGCCTTTGACCAACTCACTGACCATACAGTACCAAAATAGAACAGGCAGTCCTTTAATAGTAAAAGGTTTTCTTTGGTGGTGGTTCAAGATGACTCCAGACTGTACACCCAGAATTAATATATGTATATATATACAGCTAGCGGCAGAGATTTGCCAACTTTTAATGTTGTCACTTACCTCTGGTTTTAAACCCACTCCTGAGCATATGAAACGCTCCAGTCTTCGGCACACGCTGTGTGCTTGCCAAGTGCCCGTCCCTGCCGGGTGGGCAGGGCTGCATCCCACCACTTTGCAGTGCAACAAGCCCCCTTCCAAAAGGGTTGCCA